CCCAGTCTCTTTCTTATTGTTGAATCATGAACACTGACCTTAATTGAGGCAAGTGAGGCCTGCAGTTCTTTAGATGTTGTTCTTGGTTCTTTTATGACTTCTTGGATGAGTCGTCATTGCGCTCTTGTAATTTTGGTTGGCCGGCAACTCCTGGGAAGGTTCACCATTGTTCCAAGTTTTCTCAATTTGTGGATAATAGCTCTGACTATGGTTCGCTGGAGTCCCAAAGCCTTAGAAATGGCGTTATAATCCTTTCCAGACTGATACATGTCAACTGTTTTGATTCTCATCTGTTCTTGAATTTCTTTAGATCGCAGCATAATGTGTTGCTCTTTAAGCATGCTTCACTTTGTCAGACAGGTTCCGTTTAAGTGATTTCTTGATTCAACAGGTCTGGCAGTAATCAGGCCTGGGTGTGGCTTGTGAAATTTTAATCGGCTTTCTAAAATAATGTGGTTAATTTCAGTTCTTTCATAATTTAACAGGAGGGGGCAATTCATTTTTCACGTAGGGCCACGTAGGTTTGGACAGCTTTTTTCCCTTAATAAAATAAATAATCATTTAAAAACTGCATTTTGTATTTACTTGCATTATCTTTGTGTAATATTTAAATTTGTTTGATGATATGTGACAACACTGAAGAAATGACACTTTGCTACAATGTAAAGTAGTGAGTGCACAGCTTGTATAACAGTGTAAATTTGCTGTCCACTCAAAATAACTCAACACACAGCCATTAATGTCTAAACCGCTGGCCACAAAAGTGAGTACACCCCTAAGTGAAAATGTTCAGATTGGGCCCAATTAGCCATTTTCTCTCCCCGGTGTCATGTGAGCTAAGAGAGACATCAGCTGAGATCCGAGGATCGTTGGTGAATGTAAAGACAAGGCCGAAGCCTTGTGCAGACTTAAGAGTTGCAGAAGCATTCTAGCTCACATCCTCATCTTCTCAGAATCTAACAGAACCGCATACTGACAGGCTATGTGTTGGAGCCCACCGGGCACACCTGCACCGGTTTAAGCTCTTCACACGGGCCGCAATCAGAAGACCTAGCAGAAGACCTGGGCGGAACTGTGCGTGAGCCCTTTAAGGTCTGAGAAGATTCACGCCTCTCAGGATGGGCTTGTCCAATGCGAAAGGCTGAAATTCTAAGCGGGAGGTTGGAAATACTGGGGAGTTTTATGACCCTTTGTCTGAAAGCATGGTAATTTGCATATGGAACTCGATTGGGTGTTGATGCAAAATTACTAAAGATTCTTAGAACACTAATATATTGCCTATGTTCCAACATATAATATACACTCTCGTTTAGATTATCAGAAGACGGATTTATAGATACTAAACATGGTAAGATCACATATAGGTAAGATTACATGAACGAGTGGTTCTATCATAAGCATGCATAAAACAGTATACAATACAAAAGATAATATACAAGAACAGTAACAACATACACAATGACCTGAAGTATATGTGTGTTCATTCAAAGAAAGGTTTTCCTATGAATTAATTAGAGAAGAATCCATTTTTATGGGCATTATATGTCTTTCCTTAGGAGAAATGGAGGGATTAGCATTTGGTCTGGCATTAGGACCCGGGGGAGGCTGCCGCTGCCGCTGCACATGCTATTACTGTTTACTCTATCATACACCAAACGCATGATGTGCATTCTCAGTTTAAAAACAGTGATCCAAAACTGTGAATTGATTCATCATTCAGGCAAAATTTTGCTTCAAGAATGAGCCACAATACTGACATGATCTAATCGCATTTTTTGACATGATCTAGTCGCTAGCACACCCTGAGCACATGTGAGTTAACGTATTCCTCTTATCGGCAAGACATATCGGCATAATTTTTCATATCTGGCCGATATTTACATTTAAAACCATTATCGGCAGATTCCGATATTGGTCCAATAATATCGTGCATCCCTAGACAAAATCAGCATATTAGAATGATTTCTGAAGGATCATGTGACACTGAAGACTGGAGTAATCATGGTGAAAAGTTTTCGCCATTCATGCTTTGCTGATTTAATGCAGCCTTGGTGAGAAAAAAAAAAAAGTATACTGACCCTGAACATTTGAACAGTGTGTGTATGTACTATGTATATATAATTCAACCTAAAAATTGATGCTCAGGTCCATGTTTTACATTCTTAAGCTGCACTGTTAATGTTTCTGTTTAGTTTCTGTTTTGCTTCTACATTTTAATCATTCTAAGTCAGGGGTGTCCAAACTCGGTCCTGGAGGGCCGGTGTCCTGAAGAGTTTAGCTCCAACCCCAATTAAACACACCTGAAGCAGCTAATCAAGCTCTTACTAGGCATACTAGAAACTTAAAGGCAGGTATGTTGAGGTTGAAGTTGGAGCTAAACTCTGCAGGACATCGGCCCTCTAGGACCGAGTTTGGGCAGCCCTGTTCTAAGTTTTAACTTTTGTATTTGTAATTTTTGTACTTTGACTCAAAGGACAGCCATTGGTCTTGTTCTACATTATTTTCCATAAGCTTCTTGGTCTTTTTAATGATTGGCTAACTTCAAGTGACCACTTTTGTCCTCCTTTATATCTTCTAGTTTTAAGGGTGATACACAGTAGGCTTGCCGTGATAGACGGTGTTGACAGTGATACCGGTGTTCAGCCGCAACATCAGTTACATCACTTGCCCACCGACCCCCACCGTCGTTTAGATTTTTTGTAGTAATAAAAATCATTTAGTTCAGTAAAAGAACAGGCACTACAGTTAAAAACTGAACGCGGACAGAAAAGAAGATGGAGGATGATTTGGTTTCGAAACTAAATGCAAAAGCCCCTGTTTGGCAATATTTTGGATTTTGAAAAGCCTGTTGACTTTTGCCGTTTATCTAAGGTGATTTTGGAAGTTTTTTTTAAACATTCGTTTCTTATTTAATTGGTTACACATTGTTTGCTGATTTTTTAACTTTATTTAAACTTTGTGTCAATTATTAATTTTATTTGCATCAAGGTGTACGCCGTGCCTCCAAGCTTTCTTACTCGTTTTGCTAATAAAAGTTCTACGTTTCTTATTTATTTGGTTATATATTATACATGTTTACTTGGCCTATTTCCAGTTTTGTATACCTATTTAAACTTTGTTATTTGTTATTTTACATTAGGCATAGCCTGCCCTTTTAGCATGGTGTTTTTTTTATTTGTTTTGTTAATAAAAGTTCTATGTTTTATATATAGGCTAAAGTGAGTTTGACATTGTATTTTGTTTGTTGCATTCAAGCAATTGACACCAAACTGCCGCTAATTCGAAAGTGAAAGTAAAATGCGCATGGCGCTTTTAAGCTATTATTATTGCTACTAATATTTAACAAGAACTACTATTTTACTGTAGTTTCATTAAAAGAAATGTAGCTTTAAAAAACATTAAACAATCTTACCGACCCCAAACTTTTAAATGAAGAACAGTAGAGAAGAATGGGAGTTAGTTTGATTATTATGAAAAGAGAAATCATCATTTAACAGGATAAAAATGTTTGCATTTATTTGACTGCTGAGGTCAAGTGTAGCGTCGCAATTCAGACACTGATGTATGTTGTTAAGATGTGGTTTATAAGGGGCAGGAGGGTTCACAACAGCTTTCAAAACATTGCAACACTTGTGTGGAGTGTAAATATTATGATTTGCATGGCTCAAAAATGCATTAAATGTTAGTGAATCTTTAGCAAAGAGATATGATCAGCATAGAACAAAAAGTGAATCACTTTGAATGAAGTGACTGACTGCTACGCAGTTAAAATGCGTTATACTCCAGGTCTATATCTTTGACGTGGTGACATGGAAAAACTGGAATTCAGAAGTTTGTCTGTGTGGTTTTGCTGTCATGTCCCGAAGAGCTTTGAGGTGATGCCGAGATTACTCCGAGAATACTTTTAGTAGACGCGCTCTAAGACAACAGCGTATGACAGAAAGTCTGCCAGTGTTGAATCAGAGCTGAAGTGTGACATATCGTGACATGGTGCAAGTCCCTTGTGCAGATTTCGGAGTGTTTGCTCTCAGAATCCTCGACGGCAGTGGAATGGACAAGACTTTTCTAGCCATCCGTATGCGGTTTACCTAAAATAAGTCCTACAAAAAAACCACTCTGTTCATGGGAGATGCGATACAAGACGCTGGATTAAAATAGTAACTGATGTAGAATTTGGTATCAAAGTGTGAACCAAAACCACAGGTTACAGCCAAAAATGTGAAAAGACTTCAAGAGAAACTATTTTAACCAGAGAGCATTTTGGCTTTTATTTATTTTTTATTTCAGTCAGAATGGCTAACGTAAGATAGTATGACTGGGACTATTTTATTTAGTTTTGTTTCGTTTCAATTAGAATTGTTTTAATCAGGCTGCCTCATGTAAGAGGGTCTGACAGCTAGATTTGTATTTTATTTTATTTCAGTTAGAATGTCTTATTTTAAATATTTAATTAAATTTTTTATTTTAATCCGACTGCCTCGTTTAAGAGGGTCCGACAGCTAGATTTTTATTTTCTTTTTTTCATGATCTAAATGCTCTCTCTCTCTCTTTTTGTCAGTGTACTAAGTCTTCATTTGTGTTTACTAGACCTTGTTTAACCGTACTATATTTCCAGATTGATAAAGGTTGTTTACTGCAGCTAAAATCAGAAGGATCAAACTTTTATGAAGGGTAGTTTACTCTAGGCCTGTGGTACTTTGAAACAGCCAGCATTATGTATAAAATCATAATCTCTTGAAGTTCCTTAGTTTTTTCTTTCCCAAGCGGCATTGACAATGGGATTTGCAAATCCAAGACCATGTGGCCAGACTCGGGTCCCCTTTTCTGTATGATCTTTTTGTTTTTATTCTGTCCACCACCGTTTTCAACCCCACTGCTTTCTCGATGGGTAGGCTACACCTCCGGGCCCCCCCTTTTTATTATTTTTTTGTCTCCACTCTTACTAAATGGGCCGATGCCATAATCCTCAGCTACGAAGTCAACCGTAGTACAAGAAAAGCCTTATATCTTGCATAAAAGGGTCTTGGGATGCATGAGAATCTGAAATTTTGATAGTAAATTTGAATGGATTTATCAACTAGGCACTTAACTGGATAATTGCTAAAGGAAAAGATAAAACAAACTTTCCAGGTATGTTTGGATTTATTTATCCTGCACTTTCTTTCAATATTATTATGTGAATAATATTGTGGTTTCTTTAATTTTTTTTTTTTGGTTTTACACACTTGAAGACACTAAACCATCACATCAGAACTGTCTTAAAGGGGTTCACAACAGTAACAGTTGTATAACATTCTGTGAGAATTTCTCATGGTCAAGAGCTTTGAAGTGTAAGGAGACTGTCCTTTTTCCTTTCCTTCTTTCACTACTTTGATCATACTTTTTTGACCCGAGTTATTGACCACGATCAGATTAGAGGATTTTTTTCCTGTGCTGTCCTCGACTACAGAAGAATCACTTCAAAAATGCATGAGAAAAGCACACATTTGTTGTTCTCTAAATCCCAAATGACGGCAAGAACTATGCCCCTGAATTAGTGAACCGCTTGTCCAGCTGAGAGTCAAGCTGCTTTGCCCTGTTGATGTTTGAGATTCAATTGTTTTTTAAACGTTTTTAGTTTTTTTCAGTAAGCTTATTAGAGGACGTTGAAGCATGCTTCTTATTAATTATGTTGAATATTAAGGCTAACATTTAATGTATGAAAAATAATTGCAGACCTGAAAGAAGCATTTCAGAAACTTAAACCACTATTCCAGTAAAACATGCACTTATTCCAGTATTTTCTGCCAAAATAACGTAGTTACTACGAATTTATTTTTTACAGGCTGTACTGTAAATTCGTAATTATGGACTTTCCATCAAATGTTCAAAATGCTTTCCCCTTAATTTTTTTAAATGACAGCTACTATAATACTAAGTTAATAAACTCTGGAATATCTTGTGAATTAAATAATTTTTGAAAAAACAAAAGGCATAGTGTCCTGAAGAGTTTAGCTCCAACCGCAATTAAACACACCTGAAGCAGCTAATCAAGCTCTTACTAGGCATACTAGAAACTTAAAGGCAGGTATATTGAGGCAAGTTGGAGCTAAACTCTGCAGGACATATTGAATATTGTGGTAGTCATTCAGTACCATGACATGTATTTGGTGTCATCACTGTACTATGGTACTACCACAATATTTATGGGATTTTATTCCCATTCCCAAGAGTTTTATAGGTTGTTTTGGATCAAGGTCCAAAATTGACATCCATCATCCTCAAAGCAATCTCTGATCCCATTATAAAATGTTGTGTTTTGTTCAATGTTGAGGACAGGCTGATGAGAAAAATGAGGGATTATGATTTGTTTTGTTAGTTTATTTTTTTTATTCAGTGTGTGCTGTTTGTTGAACTTTGTGAGATAAACCTGTTAAATCAGTGTTTAGGCATTCATCTTTTTATAACTGTCCTTGTAGGTCAAATTAACAACTTACCAGCTTGTTTTATAAAGTCTTATTTGGATTTATTGCATTTATCTGGAAGTTTAATATGTTGTTTTCTTGTAACTTTAATTTTTTTTCTCACCATTATCTCCTTTTTCCTGCTCAGTTTTATCTTTATGATTCCAGACTAAATCATGCATCCAAACACACCTTTATTGTGACACATTAACCCAGCAGTTAACTCTATTGTTTAGGCCATCTAATTATTAAACCCTTACCGCTTATCAGTGAATATGCCATGAGACTGTTCTGTCATGTTCTTAAGTATTTTCCTCCTAAACATTTGAACGCAGGGATAGTGGAGTCGTACTGTCCAAAAAGAGGAGAAGAATTCAGGTCAAAGCGATGGTGACCCAATGCAATGAGCAACAAAACAGAATGAAGAAAGTGCATTAAACCCAAAACGTGACTGCAATTGAATACTTTTGGCTTCCATGAATTATCGCGAGGGCTGTCAGTAGGTCATTGCACATTGTTAGCTGATGTCTACTCAGAGGATTTTTGATTGTCATAAATCCATTTTGTGCCAGCAGTTCTTGTTGAGAATAGGTTAGTCATTCAACAATTGACAGTCTAGATTTGTTAACAAATTTGTGTTAGACAGTTTGCATGGTAAAACACACCAGATATTTGTCTAGAAATTTGGGGTTTTATGGTTTCGTTTGGATTTATTTTGACAGTCTGTTTAAACAATGAAATGTACAATATTAAATATTTATTATATTAGAAATAAAAAATATTTATTTATTTGCACCCATAATTAATAAATATTAATTTGTGCTCAGAATAAAGTTATTTGTGCTTACTTTACTTGTTTGTTTGTTTGTTTGTTTGCTTGCTAATTCCCAGAATTAGTGATACTTATTTTTGCTTTAAATATTTCCATATTAATTTATTTGCATCTGAAATGAGTATTTATTATTGGCACTAAGAATGAATAAATATTTGTGCTTGTAAAAAAATATTTTAAATGTAATTATAATAATAAATAATGTGTACTGTAAATCGCTTTGTATGAAAGCATTGTTTTTACACAATTGTAGTAGAAACAGAAATATTTTTCCTTTTGCGTTTTTGAAAAGTTTCACGTACAGACAGCACTCTTGTCAAAACGATCCTTTTTCACATGGATCTGCGAAAACGACTGTCATTTCTTTTTTGGTTAAACACTGTCACATAAACACTGTGAATGATTCATTAGTAAATTATGGGAAAGGCTGTCTAACCAATCAGGTGAAGTCTATCAGTGGAGTCCCAACCCCCATAGCACAGAGGCATGGTAACCTCTCTGACCCTTTTCATTCAGTCTTTGAATACAGAGTCAGATGTTCTGAATCATGATATAAATTTCCTGTGGGCTTAATGCTGCGCTGTTGGTGGTTTTGTGAGCTGTGGCTTATTTATATTTTTCAAATTGCCAGTATACCAGCCAGACACTGTTTGATTTGTTAATGTACAGAGCCCTTTTCTATTTCATTTCTTCAGTGTCTTTGTTCAGACGTTTAAATCCAAGAAAGTGAAAACCTTGAACCACTGGTCACTTTAATGTTTTCTCTCACTGTGAGCTGCTTAGAAACACTCCGTAAATCTTTCAAAATGTTCTTCACATGTCACATTTGAGAGAGCTGCACAATGCTTCCATTAAAAGACCGAAGGCTGTGTGATTCATGGAGTTTAATTAAGATTTCCTCTTTTGTTTTCTCTCAGGAGTCCAGGTCTGCGGCGAAAGAGCGTAAAAGAGAGAGGCCTCTTTATAGGTGAAGGGATTGCCCAGGTCCACAGCGCCCAGAACCTGACGGTAAGGGAATGTTGCTGTGTTCAAAATCACCTTCCCTTTGATTACTTTTCTGCTGCCCCTTTCCTATACAACAAAAACAAATAATAGTAAACTGGAGCTGTCAAGTTCCAATAAAATAAAAAATAAAAAAAGCTGTGGTGAGACTTGTGTGGTTATGTAATCCACTATTGATTTGGATATACTTTACTATAAAAAGTTTTTCAGTCAAAAGTTGATTTTACATAAAGTCAGTTTTAGGCCATTCACTATGAATAAGTTGAAACCACTTGAAATTTCAGGTTTGGTGGTGAGGATCCAACTAACATGCTGTACTTTTCAGTTTGCTCCGAACTAACACATTAAGATGATCTTTTTGCTGTTGGTTGATTCTGGGTTGGTAGCCAAAAGAAAAAATAAAGTGTCTTCTAAATGACTGCTTGCATACTTGCATGACACATTGACATGGGTTGGGTAAATAGGCCTGTCAGGTTTATGACTGCAGTGTTTCCTTGCATTCATCGTATAGTCTGCTCAAGAGGAAGTTAAAAAAGTGCAGCATGTTGCACTTGCGATTTGCGTATAAATTGTAGCCAAGAGCAGAATGTGGCCATATAGCAGCTGCTCCAGAAAGGGAAAATGGTAGGAAGGGTCGGTCCCGAATTGGGTTTCCCCTTTCTGTGGTGTGTTGTACGGGTGTGGTGGGCTGATAAGATCGGGGCCTGTGGCTGAGGGCAGGGAACAGTGAGCAGGGCATGACCACTTAGCTCCCGACTGCCTAACACACACTCACACACTTTCCCTGTTTTCTGCCATGCTGCCTCCCTGCTGCCCTATTGTTGAGGTGACCACACCAGCACGGTGCTGGTTTCCTCCCTGCTGTCCCCTCCGAGCAGCATGCTGGAGCTCCGTTCCAAAACCTAGTGAGTGGCCTTCTAGGGAAGCATCCTAACCATCATGCAAACCTCATAAGAACTGATTTGGAACGCTCTCTGCTGGTGGCAGCCACTCCACATTTCTCCTGTATAGGTAGCTTAATTACTCCATTCCTCTTTTTTTTCTTTTTTTTTTTACAGCGTTTGCATTGTGCGCAATGCTTATGTTGCCTTAAAGTGCTGTCTATGTAGGGAGCTCACTACTCAATCTACCTCAGTACATTTGGCCTTATCAGAAGACTGGATAAATGTTTCTGACGGGCATATTATGTCAGGGTGTTTTTATTGGTGTCTGAATGCTCACCGTGAGCTTATCCTCTCTTAAGGACAAGCTGTTTGGTTGGCTCGGAGGACCAATAGGAGAGCAGAGCATGCAGATGGAAAGTATTTTCTTTAGTATTAGTATGGGGAGGATTCATGAGAAATGAGAGCAGATCACTTTAAATAAACCAAAAAAAAAATTTTTTTTTTTAGAAGTCTTTATGGCATTTTTGTTATACATTTTCAAATTCTTGTTCGTGAATCTCACAAAGAAATGTCTAGATCATATTTCACCCAAAATTTTATTTTGAATTGAAAATGGTTTAGTTTTCTAAATATTGTTCAAAATTTGAAAAATTAAATAAATTAATTATTTAATTAAAATACATAAAATAAAATAAAAAAATAATTATATTGCTTGTTTTTCTGCAAGGGTGAAAAGTATGACAATCAGGTGATTTAAAATTGTGACTATTTTAATAAATTAAGCGCAGTTTAATTCCTCATTTGTAAGTCACTTTGGATAAAAGCGTCTGCTAAATGACTAAATGTGAATGTAAATTAAGCGCAGCCCCTCCAAAATTACTACTGTAAGTTATAAAATTGTTTAGTTGGTGTATTATAAAATCAAACAACTAAATTTTTATTTCTTAAAATCATAATCAGTTAGAAGCAGTAAACCAAATAACTTCAATGTATAAATATATTTTAAAAATTTGAAAAATAACTTTTTGCCTTACATAATGACTTTTTTCCCCTCTAACATTTTGTATTGAGAATTGGGGGGGGGGGGGGGGGGGGGAGGGGTAAATGTTCTGAAAATAATTTCATGATGCTAAAAATCATAATTGTTTTAAAATAGACTATTTTTTATTTTAGGATGAAAAGCTTGACAAGCCACACTAGGTTAACCCTTACAAAAATCAAGATAGTCATAGTGCATAAATAGGGTAAATATTGTAAATTATGAGTAAATACTTATTACACAGGGAGGGAAATGCCATCATTTATGGCCAAGACTTTGTTCAGCTGGTGATTTGTAGTGAGAATGACGGATTGTGCTAGTTCGTCTAATGATTATGAGAGCTGGAAAGAGCCTTTTGAGTGACTGAGCCCAGTGTTTTTCTCTGATCTCCTTCTCTTTCCTCTGCAGAGAGCTTTGGTTACACACAGCTTGCTGTACATTCCTGTCAATCTTCAAGACAACTGCACTTGCCCAGTCATGAAATATTTAACCATTAATCTCACTCATCTTCAATGTTTGCATCCAAGGTCCAAAATTAACACCCAGTCAGCACCAAATGAGAATAAAAGGGACTTTGGTGAGCAAATAAACTTGCCAGTTGGATGGTAACTTTAATTAAAGTTGAATTTGATCATTGTAAGAATGTAACACTCCAAAGAGAAAGGAAAACTTGAAATTCCAAAATTCAAGGTAAGGGTGCAAAAATGCCCTCGTATGACTTTTATGTCTTTTTATATTTACATCATTTGATATCACACGAAGAGTGACGTTTTCCTCCAAATTTCAGCACGATTGCAAATGTGATATTGATTTGATGAACAGCTCAATAATCAAGAAGTTAACATTAGGTGACTTACTTTTTAGACACAAGTTCCTGTTTTTGTTCTATTTCATCAACGAAAATAGTTTCAAAGAAAGCCACAGCAGAAATGTTTTGCGTCTTTGAGCAACACGACTGTTTCGTTACTGAATCAATCAGCCATTTGAACAAATCGTTTGAATGAATGACTCAGACTCACTCATGCAGTGATTTGCCGCCACCTACTGGCGATTTTAGGTTTACATTATATTTTCCCCCTCCCCCCAAAATCATTTCAAATATCAGTATTCAAAGTGTTTGTTGTTGTTGTTTTAACAAAACATTATTTATGCATTTGTAACTGCAGGTTAAACGCATTCATGTCCTGCATTTAAGTCTGTGTAAATGCATCTAAATGCCACTTCAGATGCAGATTCTGTGCCACCTTTGCATTGCAAACACACAAATGTTTTTGATCCGGATTTCATTTGATTGGTTAGTAACAGCCTTATAGTGTCTTACTATTAAAATTTATTGAAGAATTTGACACAAAAGATGATGCATACATTTGATTAGGTTAGAAGAAATTAGCCTTATAAAGGTAAAAAGGCCCATAAATGGTAAAAATCAATTTAAACCTATTGGGAAAGTTAATTTCTCAGCAAAATATCGTCTAATTATCACTATCAACAAAATTACAGAAGATATTTATATAATTTTGTCATTATCACACACCCCTACTAGGTTGCCTGTCTCATGTTTATTATTATTATTATTTTTTAAAAAAAATTTATCCAAAACTCCAAAACTTGGCAGTATTCTCACATTAAATCATTTTAATTCGTTTTTTTGTTTGTTTTTTCAACATGAATATAGCCTTTGCTGACACCACAAATAGTGTTTTAATACAAGTGTAAAATTTAATATGATGCTTAAACATAACTAATAAAAATGTGATATGAAACCAATAAGGTGACAGGAAATAATTGACTGGTAACTTTTGTCAATTCGCCAACCGTTGGTATGTAAAAATTTATTTTTAGCCCTGTGTGTAAATAAATGGATCTCTTTGCATTTTTTTTGATTGTCAAATTGTCTCACTGGTTTGCCAGCTGTTGTCTGGCTCTCATGTGTGTCTGAGAACACTCTCAGCGTGGCTCTCAGCTGTAGTGCTCAGGATCGTGACTCACAGGAAGTTCTTCTCTGAGTGTTTGCGTTTGTGTGCACATGATTATGTGTCATCTCAGGTCAGCTGGTTGTCAATACAGTCCAATGGTATAACAGCTGTTATTGGGCCTCACACAATCCTTACTGTACTACACATGCGCGCGCACACACACACACACACACACACTCTCTCTCTTAGCGTGTGATCTCTGTGTGTGTGCAGGAGAGCAGCAGTTATCCAGGCAGGACTAAAGACCAGGATGGACAAGGAAGATCTGAAGATTGTCAACAAGGGTTTGGAGGATGAGATGGTATATTTCTCCTTCAGTTTTTTTGCCTTTTTTTCTCTTATAAGGCACACGAGCTGATTTTATTTCTGTCCAGGAGCTGAGTGGGTACCGACTGTGCCGATGGAAGCTGGTTCTGGTGGGTTTGGGTGGTCTCTGTACAGGCGGTTTTCTCTTCCTGCTGCTCTATTGGATGCCTGAATGGTGTGTGAAGGCCACCTGCACACGGACCACCGTCAGAGACGCAGACGTCGCCCTCTTACGAAGCACTGTATGTATTAAACCTCAAGAAAACTTTTTGGGCTCTCTTACACCTCACATATTAACATGTCTTGTGCATCCGGATATGCTTCGATATTTTGGATCAGTTGATAATTAATTTTCAGATATTGGCTATAAACTGATAAATGGTCAATTTTATGCTATTTTGTATAATTTTTGGACACCATGTTAATAGGGTTGGAAAGATTACTTTGGAAATGTAATAGGTTACAGATTACAAGTTACCCTATATAAAATGTAATAAGTATTGTAACTATTTCAATTACTTTATTAATGTAACTAATTACATTTGACTACTTTGATTACTTTTCAAAATTTCTAATGAGTGTTTTTAACTGTTAATCATTTTGAAACGTTTAAAGCAGACAGGATTAACCTGTAGTACTCAACACTGTCAGACTTTCAAAATCCTTCATCACTTAAATTAAGATTGTAATAATTGAATTTTAAAGCACAGCCACCACAAAATCAGACTGACTTTGAGATCATTCTGAGGTTAAATACAGATTTAAAATCATAAGATATAGTTTAATAGTTATGATACTGTTTTTGAAATCAAATCTTTGCATAGCTATGACCGGAAACACAGGCATCTAACAATGCCTTTGAAAAACAGTAAATCTTAAAAAAAAAAAAAAAAAAAGCATATACATAAATCCAAATAAGAAATTAAACAGTTATTGAATATGTCCTATTCTGTATCCTAAACTAGTGAATCATTGGTGTCTCATATTTTAGAGCAGTCAATGCAATTTGGGAAAGAAATCATTCAAATCTGTATGTGTGAAATATTCAGATGTAACCCACTTAGTAATCGTTAACATTTTCATAAGTAACTAATTTAATTAGACATTTTTTCTCAATAATTGTAACTGATTAGTTACATTTATTTTGCATTTAAAATGACATAATTCCGTTACATGTAACTAGTTACTCCAACACTGTATATACACAATTTTGTATATTATACACTCTATACATTTTTATTCTATTTTTTGTTCTGTTTTATAAATATGATTACATTTTAAAATACTAGTTTAATAAAAAGACAAGAATTTCCCTAAACAATGAATAAATAAATTGAATACACTAACGAATTATGTATAGTAAAACATAGTTTTCATGTTAATACAAGTATTAAATGCGCCTTTGCGTGAAATTTCACACCTTTTGCTTTGTCAGTGCACATCTTTTGCCTGATTTCATATAGGAGAGTTAATAACACTAAGTATTTCAAATGCTTCTCCTTTAAAATGTTTAGGATTTTAGTATTAAGACTTAATAGACTTTAAGAATTACATAATCCTTCAGATGTCCTGTTGTTCAGTGGTAGATAACCCTCAACTCTGAGGCAGATAATTTGTGAATGGCTGCCAGTCATAATTATAGTGCAGTGTAAGTCACTTGAAACACCCTTTTTTTTTTTTTTTTTTTTTTTTTTAATAGCCAATCATCACCTTGGAGTTCTTTAATGTTTCACAGTTTGTGTACCATTACAATGCTAAGTTTTCTAATTTGTCTCCAACGGTTTTTTCATTAAGATGTGTTTGCGTATAATCTGTTTCTATGTTTGTCCATAGGACGAGTTCAAGCGCTGGTTTCGAGCGAGGATTCGGATAATGCTGGCCCCTGGGAAGGACCCTTATGACAACCTGGCCTCTCAAACCGCCTCCCCTCAGGCCAATGACCACGCCCACAACCCCTCTGACTCCGCCCCTGGGAAAATCACCAGCAATCCAGAGGACCAGCATGTGCCGGTATCATCCGCATAAAATCCATCCCATCCTTTCCATATAGTTCAATTCTGCATTTCCACAAATTCTGGTATTTGCAAACCATATAGTTAGACTTTATCGGTGAGTGGGTAAATATCTTTTTCTTTCTCTTTTGTATTACAGAGACGTTATTTTACCCTCCACAGCACTAAATTCTTTTGGAACGACTCCATTCAGAACTTTGAAGTATTGAAGTAAGAAAACATACCCGTTTATAGTCTGAATCTGATGATTTGTGTAAATTCTGCTCTGTGAATCCCTAAAACTTCACTGTTCTACAGAGGCCTGGAAGATCTGAGCATGACCTGCTCATCCGTTCACTCAAAGCACAGCGCCGGGCTCAACAAAAACCAGCAGGAGTACAGGTGAAACCTTTGAATTTGTCGTGTTTAGCTGACGCTGTGTCTGGAATTGAATGTTGATTGCTGGTCTCAACAATAAAGTTGGCTTGTTGGTCAGTGTAAATTTGTTTCCTTTTCTTTTTTAGGAGATTTTTTTTCGGACTGAATGAAATAGACGTGAAAGTGCCTTCTCTTTTCAAGCTGCTAATTAAGGAGGTACGAGTGAAATGTGAAACTGACCCTGGCTGGAGAACAGTGTGACACAACACTGCTGACGCTGCTGTGGTGAATTTGTCTTCTCAGAAACTTGAAATAAAGGAACTGATGCTTGTCTCTATCTTTCTCTCTCTTTCTCAGGTCCTCAATCCTTTCTACATCTTCCAGCTCTTCAGTGTTATCCTGTGGTGTACTGATGAATACTATTACTACGCAATGGCCATAGTCGTCATGTCAGTCATATCAATAGCTACCTCTCTCTACACTATTAAAAAGGTAAACAGTAATACCGTTTAAAACGTAATTCACATTTTATTTACGTGCTGCTGTATTTTGAGTGGAATGGAATAGTTAGTAATATAGGGCAGAACTTCTAAGTGTTCTCATCTCGTGCAGCAGAAGTAGAAGTGGTTCAGTCAAAACGCTGCATTATAACTGCATGGGAGGTAGAAAATTTCTTATCACGATTATAGTGACCAAAATTATCACGGTTATCAGTATTATCACGTCATTATTTTAATGCTAAAATGTGCTGGAGATGTTCAAAAAGTACCAACACATAAATCACATCACCAAGTTTTATATTTAACAAACAACAAACAACAAATAAAATGACTTTTTGTTTGCATAATCACTAAAACAATGTCATTGCCAATGATGTTCGGATTTTAAATGATAACTTGACTGACAACAGTTTAATAGCATGTTGAAATATCTAATGTAAATGTTCAAATAAAGCTTTGAAAAAGTTTCATAAAAAGGTAAACCTCACATTTCAGCCTTTAAATAAAGAAAATTATCAAGTTAAGTCAAAATGATAATTGATTAATAAATGATTATATGTATTTTATCTGCTCCATAAATAATTCTAGATAACTTATCTGACTTGTTTAAATGTGTAGAATCTACATAAGCTTGTTTTACATCAACCAGTCAAAATTTACAACAGGGCATGCAAATTCGGTCAATTTTTGGCCAGACAGAAACTGCACACAGACTGAATGTAAATACAAGTCTCTGTAAATCCACTCGCTGACAGCAGGTAGCGCTTATGGAAAAGTTGATTTACAGCCGTAACCTCCGTGGACAAAGCAGTATTGCGATTAACACTTCCTTTAGGTATTACATGGAGCGAAGGTAAAAACAAAATGCCATCGAATCGTTTCTGAAGACAGTCAGAACCGTCAGAGGTACATTCATATAATTAATTCATTCATATATTCATTTGTATAATTCCCTTAGCGCTTTTATAAAACCTCCCAGCTTTTCTGCCCTGTTTTCACTCAAAACGAAACTACTCTGCTGCTGTGTGCACGTGAGACTGTTACTTAAAACTGCTTTATGCTGGACAGTATTTATCGTGAGTTGTTCAAATCGCGGTAATCTAATACGGTTTTAGTGATAATTAAAATATGAAATGGTAATACTAACCGTCGGGAATTTGATCATGATTTATCGTCAAACCGGTAATCATTACATCCCTAATGGGAGGATAATATATGAGCTGTAGGTTTCTGACATGTTGCAAGCTTTATTTAACATCACAACTGACAACATACGGAATACTCGGGAGTCAGATACGCAAATGATTATATTTTGACGTCACTAAAGGGAAATAACCTGATTTATTAATAAAGTCATGTAAACACAGCTTATTTGCGTTGTCAGCTTACTGGTGTGCATGTAAACATGCTCATTGATTATTTTTGGCTAGTAACTGATTAATGGCTTGTTAAAATTGTATGCTATTCTGTATACTATACAAAGTATTTGTACAAAATAGACGTACATGGTATTTTATATAGTTTATTATACAAAGTATGAGTTTTGTATTTTGTGCTATTTTAAATATTATTAAAATAAATACATTTAAAATTTTAGCCTTTGTTAACCAATTAATAACCAATAATATATATACAAAAATTCAATTTTGTATAAAATACAACATAATTATTACTATACACACTATCATTTAGCATTCTACACTATTTTAAATGTAGTATTAAGTATTTTTAAATATTATTTTAAAGACAAACATTCCTGTATTCCATGTATGCATGTATGTATGTATATGTAAATAAATACATTTCAAGTTTTGGCCTTAATTAACCGATTAATGACCTATATTAAAATTCTATACTATTTTGTATAATATACCACATATTTATGATATACTTATTGTAAGTTTTGTATTCTATTTTAGTATAGTAAATGCTTATTTAAAATTAATGATTAAATATGTAAATACTTTACTAATAAGACAGGGAAAATACAAATTGGATGAATAAACTATAATAAATATAATATCACAATTAATTAAAAATAATAATAATAAAATGTTTAATTAAAGACTTAAGTCAAATAAATAAATAAATAATCAGTCATTTTCTAAGCAAAAGTTTTTACATTTTAATGAAATTTTACATGAAATAACAAACACTGATGGATCATGCATACTAAAACTAAAGACATTTACTGTAACATTGTAACATTACATGTAAGTTTTGATTCTATGTTATTTCTACAAATAGATCAGTATAATGTTGTATTTTAGAGTTATCAAGCAAATGGGCGTATCCAAGGTTAGAGTTTATGCTAAATTTCTGATTTCATAACTGAGGTCTATTATCAGTTAATGTGTGTATTTTTATATGCCTATTAGGTTATCTGTGCTGTCTGGTCAGGAGAATGTTTATTTGTGCTTCACATGACCTTTTTTGTTTTACAGCAATATGTAATGCTACACGACATGGTGGCAGCACACAGTACTGTTCGAGTTACAGTCTACAGGGGCGAAAACGGTACGGCTCAGAGTGAGGAATATGCTTTTGCAGTACATCTAAGTATATCTGTAATGACGGCACTGCTGCAGGTCTGGATTGCCTGCATCAGGGAGCCTGGTGCAGTGGCCAAAGTCACAATGAGTCAGCACTCCTGTGCAAGGAAGCATGGGTAATAAGTGATCTGCTGAGACAGACTGGTTTTATTTCACCGCTGTCTCTTTGTCTTCTGTTTTTGCTGTACAGAAACAGAGGAAGCCCTGTCTACAGACTTGGTCCCCGGCGATGTCATCGTCATCCCCAGCAACGGGACCGTCATGCCCTGTGATGCAGTGCTCATCTGTGGAACCTGCATTGTTAATGAGAGCATGCTTACAGGTGATTGGATGCATCCAAATGCGATGTCATAGAAGTTGATTAGAGAGGGGCGATTTGGGGAAAAATCATATATTCCTAATGATTGCTCAAAAATAGTCCAAATATATGAAACCTATCCACCTTACTTTTCATCGCAGAAGTAAGCCGTTTTCTGTGAATGTGCGACTTCCGGTTCATTAGCCGCTGGTGGGAAATAACAAGAAGAATAGAGTGCAGTAAACTGTAAAACTGTTTTCATAATTAAGATGATGCATTAAAATAATATGGTAAAAAAACACCAGTTTGCAGTATCAAGTAGCAAAACGAACTGAACAACCAAAAATAGCTGGAAGCGGATGACACCGGTAGCCAGACACATTCAATTTATAAATGGCTGTGCCCGCTGTTACTGGAAGAATAAGGTAGATATTTCTTTCTTTCTAAACAACATGAATATTACTCTGAAAAGTTTTCAAACAAAATAAACTAATTTTACTTGCATAAACTTTCACTTTCAGGTGAAAAAAAGTGATTAATTTTCTTGCTGCAATGGTTTGTCAATAGACATATGGGTCATTCCTGGTATTTGGTAACATTTCAACCTCCAAAAAAATCATAATTTCCCACCTCGGGCATTAAAGACCTTTCATTATTTATTTATTTATTTTTTCAGCTTTAGACACCTTTTTTTCTCAATCCCATAACGGACAAAATGGGATTGGTTTAAAAAGGATTTTACACAGAAATTGTTATAAAACAAACATGTACCTACTGCTCATGTGTCCCTGATAACTAGGGGTTGCACCGACTAGTCGACTTCAATGCTCTGCCATGACGCTTTAAGCTTGACGTCGACTAGTCGCTGGTCCTATAGAGGGCGCAACATGATTCGAAATCTTTGAAGGACTTCCACATTTACGCTCCGTTTCCAAACAGTTAAAATGACAAATAAATGCATACTCTGAAAGCGCTCCACAAGACGTGTGATTATATTACTAGATGCTCGAAATTGACTGGGAGAATGCATGTTTTAAACAGCTTATTTTACAGGTAAATTAATCGCCGTTATAATCTAATGTGCTGCTGCACTGTAACGCACACACATTACAGACAGTAGCTCGTACATCACGCGTACAGAATCATTCAGCGCGGAAATGTATTGTCAACACTGTTCTGTGATTTCTCAATAAAATAGCTTATAAACTGAAAAGTTCAAGCATATATTTCTTAACTAAATCCCACAGCTTCACTACTAGTAGAGAGATGCTGCCAGGTAGAATTAATTCACACACGCAATCGCTCTCACTAATGCATTCATATGAATGTAATCTTTACTGTGCTACTTTATCTGTATCTGATTTAGGACGAGCAGAAATCTGTGAGAAATATAATGACCCAAAGACAAAAGAACTGATAAAAATGAGCTCTTATAGGAGCAATAGCCATGTGGGCAGCACTGTGTCATATGCCATAGGTGTGCACAAGGTGTTTGTCACAGCTCCAGACTTATTTGTTCATTAATGACGTCATCAGCGACTAGTCGACTTCGACTCAACTTTCATCACATAAAAGTCAACTTTAAAAAATCAGAAGTCGTTCAACCCCTACTTATAACAATATAATGATAACAAATGTCATGTTTTATCAAATTATCATAATTTTCACATTTTTATAGGACTGAAGCTAAAAATACACAAATTGTTGATGAATATACTGTATGTCTGACGAACCATTGCAGCAAGTACGGTCTATTTATTTTTGTAAAAAAATATTTTTAATTTAAAATTTTAACTAAAACCATAATTTTATTGTTTTAGCCCTTAACGTCAGATGGTAAACAGCAATAAATACTTTTGTTCTTAATTGTCTTCCTTGATAATTTTCTAAAAATATTAATGTGACAAGGTGGTTGAAGACTGTAACATTTGAAGGGATGCATTTCTGTATCATATTGTCCCCTTGTTTCTGGGTCAACATATCTCCATGGCCAACATTGTCTTTCTGCTGCAAATGTGGGTGCAATTTCTGATGTATGATGCTTGTCAATGTTTAAGTGGACATATTACATCAAAAATTCTATTGAAAACAAAAATATGAGTTGTCATGAATTTGGAGTATATATATTTACTGAAACCATGACTATTATATTTTTTTTATTAAAATTCTTAATAAATGAGGCAGATAACTCAACCCTGTCACAAGTTTACAACCCTGTAACAATGAGAAATGCATATATTTGTGACCGGGTTGAGTGTGACGGGGTTGTGTTTTTTCTCTCAAAATGGCCACTGCTCCTCATGTAGTGTAGGAGAGTAGACCATACATGGCAGCAATAAAATAAGTACATTGTATTAAAATAAAATGTTGAAAAAGTAATAATTTTCCATCTTAACTTTATGTGATGGGTTGAGTTAAGTTTGACAGTACCCTCCCTGACTATAACACGCCTCAAAAATATGAATAAAAAGTATGAATCTACTAACCATTTTCTACACCACTATTAAAGAGACCTGAAAGATGTCATTTCTGGTAAATGATGTCACATAGTAGAGTCTAAATTATTATGGGAGTAGAATGGCTAGTGTGACAGGGCTGAGTTCAGACTGAGGGACATAATTTTAAAGTCTGTTTTTATTTATTTATTTATTTATTTATTTTAGAAAAATATTTTTTACAAGAAAGGAACACAAATAAATGCTTACATTGTTGCCAAAAATCACAGACACTTTGCACATTTTGTTAATAATTTTCTAAGTGAACTCAGTGAAGTTCCTCAGGGACATGACAAAATGCTTGGTTTAAGATAGATATAAGACATTATTTTATGCTAAAAATATTCAAATGCAATCATTATTTTTATTCATTATAATGGGCATCCCAAAGTTTTGCGAAAAGCTTCTAACAACTCATTTTGGTGAACCACCACTTTAGAAACTCTGGGGGACTGAAATATTACCGAATCCCAGGAATGAAAAAAAGTGATTCATTTTTCTTGCGGCAATGGTTCGTCAATAGACTTATACAGTATATTCATCAACAAAAATTGTGAGATATGAAGAAAATATATTTTTGACACCTAATGGAGTCAAATTTTTTTTTTATTAAAATAAATAAATAAATAATGTTTTTTTTATGATTGTGAAGTTAATGTGAATGAAGTTAATAAAAAAGATTTTGTTTACTTTAGCTTTCTTCTCTGAAAACTGTTTTTATTTCATGTGCTTATGTTACAGATTTCATGTTTATGTTGTGCTTTGTCATTATTAATGGCTATTAATGTCATTTAAGTAGTTTTTTTTTTGTTTTTTTTTGCTTGAGCATATTGTTATTGTGAATAAAATAAAGATATGTATGTCTCACAAATGTTTCTGTGTTCTCTTCTCTCATTTCATATATTCAGGTGAGAGTGTTCCAGTCACAAAGACTGACCTTCCAAACCCTCAACGGGACAAGAAGGGTGGGGATGGAGACGAGATCTACAGCACAGAGGAACACAAGAGACACACACTCTTCTGTGGCACAAACGTCATACAGACCCGCTACTACACGGGAGAAATGGTCAAAGCCGTGGTGGTCCGCACAGGTTAGAAGCCAAAACTACTTCCAACTACATTTTAAGCAACATTTTACATACTTTGTCTGCCACCTTTTTGTCACTGAAGTTGTCTTTTTTTTAATGTATTGTGGGATTTATCTGATGCTGCCTTGAGTTTGCACTAAAAGTTACCTTAGTAGGCAGCATATCTGCTAGGGTTGGGTATTGTTTTGTTTTTTTTCGATACTTTTAAAATGGTTCCGGTGCCTAAACAGTGCCTGAACCGATACTTATAAAAAAAATAAGTAAATAAAAATTCCCCCAAAAAGTGATGGATTGGCGGGGTTCTTGGCTTCAATTAACAGTAAACGTAGCAAGGTTTTTTTTTTTTGTTTGTTTTTTTGCTTATTTTGTTTTTATAATAAATGAAAAGAAAACAAGTAGAAAAAATAGAAAAAGAATAGGGAATGCTGGTGTTAGAGGGTCATTTTAAAATTAAAATAAAACCATTCAATAGAACAGAAAAAAGAACAGATAATGCTAGTGTTAGAAGGTCATTATTTATAATAAATAAAAAGAAAATAAGTGGAAAGAATAGAGAATGCTAGTGTTAGAGGCTCTTTTTTCTTTATAAATAAAACAAGTAGTTAGAATAGAGTGCGCAAATGTAAGCGGGTCAAGATTTTTAATTAAAAAAACCAAGCAGATAAAATTAGAAGTAGCATTAGAATAGAGAGTGCTAGAGTTAGAGGGTCAAATGAAGATGAAAGAGATGTGTTTTCAGCCGTTTCTTAACAATATTAAGGACTCAGCTGCTTGGATTGAGCTGGGCAGGTCATTCCACCAGGAGGGAACAGTTAATGTAGAAGTCCATGAAAGTTTTATCATAGGTAGAATGCAAAATGTTTCAATACAAGCATTTCAGTCAAATGTAATTTATGCAATATTTCAAACCTTTAACCCACTTGGGGAAAATCAACCCATGGCAACAGTTTAAAAGTAACCCAATTCTGTGGAAAAAACGCGGCCTTGGCAACCCTGCATCTAACGAGAGCTACCGGAGTCAAGCTTTGACTGATCACAGGTCGAGAATAAAGAGAGATGACTGACAAGATCATGCTGGAGTATAATCATGCTCAACAGATTCTGAGCTCATTGACAAATATCTGATCTTGTAAGATGTGCTCCCTTTACACAGTGCATGTGATCGCGAAATCGAAAGTGAAAGTAAACAGCGCAAACGCTCATTCAAAAATATTTAAATGCACCGCATCCTGAGAGCGGCTCCCTGATGCGCGAAAATTATATACAATATTAGAATGTTTAAAGAAGTGGACATGAAAATCGCGGGAGCGAAACACATGTTGCGGGAGCTGGTGGCAATGGTCAAAGATTCAGCAGGAGTGGGATTAAGAAAACAGCCGAATCCCGGACATTTTGGGCAATTAAGAAATCCCGGCCGGACGCATTTTTGTAAAATGCAAAAAAGAGGACATGTCCGGGGAAAAGAGGACGTATGATCACCCTAATTTATAATCTATTGCTATTCAATGTATTCTTTTTAAAGTAGCATATGGAACATATTTTCTGCCTCATGTGGACACTCACGCGAGTATGTGTTGGATTTGTACTATTAGAGTTTTCTGACTTGAGTTCACATGCATTTTCTCAGTCGGGAAATTATTTCATGTGCGGTGCCGGTGATGATTGTAGGGTGAACAGTGATAATTTAATAATTTAGCTCAAAGGGAATCATTTAAGATTTTAAAGGGAACTCCACCATTAATATGCAAGGGAATTAGGACAGAATCACTGTTTTACGGCAGATCACTGAGACGTCTTTTGTTGGACAACAGGTTTAGAAATGTGAATACAAGGGAGGTTTAGCTTTAGGAATTGTAATTTAAGCATGTTTAGCTTAGTTAACGGAAGGCTACCTGCTGCCATCAGAGCAAGTGTAATTACTGCGCTCCTCGGATGCTCTCATTTCCCGAGTTGTGCTTTTAAGTCGGAATGTGGAAACAACGTGGACACTCACGCGAGTATGTGTTGGATTTGTACTATTAGAGTTTTCTGACTTGAGTTCACATGCATTTTCTCAGTCGGGAAATTATTTTTCACGTGCGGTGCCAGTGATGATGCTTCTTACGTCTGTTTCGGAGAACCTGAGGACAAATATTTCAATCGATCGCTCAAGCATGGCACCGAAATCTGCATTCGGATTCGGTTCTAGTACATACCGGTTACATAGGTACCGGTGCCATATTGGTACCGGATTTTGTCCCAACCCTAATATCTGCTTGGCTGATGCTTTAAAATACTGCCTACATAGACAGCTGACTAGGTTTTATGACAGCTGACTAGGTTTTATAACAGAGCCCATAGTTACAATTTCATTATATATATATATATATATATATATATATATATATATATATATTTTTTTTTTTTTTTCTAGGTTTCAGCACTGCTAAAGGGCAGCTCATCCGCTCCATCCTGTACCCCAAACCCACAGATTTTAAGCTGTACCGGGACGCCTACCTGTTCCTGCTGTGCCTGGTGGCCGTTGCCAGCGTCGTCTTTGTCTATTCTTTGGTCATGAAAATCATAAATCAGGTTTTTATCTGTCTTTAAAAGAACAGCAGCATTTTTGTGACATCAATCCCACTTGCATGTACAGGTGCATCTCAAAAAATTAGAATATCGTGAAAAAGTAAATTTTTTTTGTAACTTATTTCAAAAAGTTAAACTTTCATATGTTCTAGATTCATTACATGTAAAGTAAAACATTTCAAACGTGTTTTTGTACAGCTCATGAAAGACAAAAATCTAGTATCTCAAAATATTAGAATATTTCCTAAGATCAAAAAAAAAAAAAAAAGGATTTGCAAAACAGTTCTTTAAAATATGTTCATTTCTGCACTCAATACTTGGTCGGGGTTCCTTTAGCACAAACTCCAGCATCAGTGAGGTGTGGCATGGAAGCGATCAGTCTGTGGCACTGCTGAGGCACTATTGATCCTTCAGCTCATCTGTATTGTTGGATCAACTGTTTCTCATCTTTCCCTTGAAAATATCCCATAGATTCTATATGAGGTTCAGGTCAGGCATGTCGGCTGGCCAATTAAGCACGGTAATATCATGGTCAGCAAACCTTTTGGAAGTGGTTTTGGCACTGTGGGCAGGTACTAAGTCCTGCTGGAAAAGGAAATCGGCCTTGGGTAGCCCTTTTCCTGAAGACGCCTGAGCGATGCACTGACTCCAGCTTCAGCCCTCTCCTTGTGGAGCTCTTCCAAGTGATTGAATTGGCTTTGCTTGACAGTATTCTCAAGCTTGTGGTCATCCCTGTTGTTTGTGCACCTTTTCCTACCCAATTTCTTCCTTCCAGTCAACTTTGCATTTAAGATGCTTTGATACAGCCGTCTTTGAACAGCCACCCCTTTCAGTAATGACCTTCTGTGACTTACCCTCTTTGTGGAGGGTGTCAATGATCGTCTTCTGGACCATTGCCAAGTCAGCAGTCTTCCCCGTTATTGTGGTTTTAAAGAACAAGAGATACCCGGAATTTATACTGAAGGGATGGTCATTTAATGAAACTCAAATGTAAATATTCTAATATTTTGAGATACTGGATTTTTGACTTTCATGAGCTGTGAGCTCTAATCAAAAATTTAAAAAAAACTTTTGAAATGTTTTACTTTACATGTAATGAATCTAGAACATATGAAAGTTTCACTTTTTGAAATTCACGATATTCTAATTTTTTGAGATTTACCTGAACAGTTGAGGTCAAAAGTTTACGTCCCCCTTTCAGAATCTGCAAAATGTTAATTATTTTACCAAAATAAGAGGGATCATACAACATGTATGTCATTGTTTATTTAGTAATGACCTGAATAAGATAGTTCACCTAAAAGATTTTTACATATAGTCCTCAAGAGAAAATAATAGTTGAATTTATAAAAACGACCCCGGTCAAAAGTTAATGACCGTATGGATTTTGAGATCCATCTTTTCACACTGGGGACAACTGAGGGACTCATATGCAACTATTACAGAGGGTTCAAATGCTCACTGATGCTCCAGAAGAAAAAAACACATTAAAGGTGCACTTAGTGATTTTTGAAAAACACTTTTGACCACAACGTCGGACCAAGTCCCAAAACACATGCAGCCAATCAGCAGTAAGGGGGCGTGTCTTGCAATGAACGAGAAGAGAGCGCTCAATTTTAGTGCACAGGAGGTATATTAGTAGATCGACTATAGATAGAGAGAGATGGCAGATAAAACAAAAAGAGGAAAATATCAGAGAAACAAAACATTAAAAAGAAGGGTTACGGTCAGGCAAGAGGTAGGACCCGCGTAAACAAATGAAATGCAAAAGTTACTTTCATCTGAAACGAGGACTTTGGACCACTGAGGAACAGTCCAGCTCTTTTTCTCCTTAGCCCAGGTAAGATGCTTCTGACATTGTTTCTGTTTCAGAAGTGGCTTGGGTAGCCCTTTTCCTGAAGACGCCTGAGCGATGCACTGACTCCAGCTTCAGCCCTCTCCTTGTGGAGCTCTTCCAAGTGATTGAATTGGCTTTGCTTGACAGTATTCTCAAGCTTGTGGTCATCCCTGTTGTTTGTGCACCTTTTCCTACCCAATTTCTTCCTTCCAGTCAACTTTGCATTTAAGATGCTTTGATACAGCCGTCTTTGAACAGCCACCCCTTTCAGTAATGACCTTCTGTGACTTACCCTCTTTGTGGAGGGTGTCAATGATCGTCTTCTGGACCATTGCCAAGTCAGCAGTCTTCCCCGTTATTGTGGTTTTAAAGAACAAGAGATACCCGGAATTTATACTGAAGGGATGGTCATTTAATGAAACTCAAATGTAAATATTCTAATATTTTGAGATACTGGATTTTTGACTTTCATGAGCTGTGAGCTCTAATCAAAAATTTAAAAAAAACTTTTGAAATGTTTTACTTTACATGTAATGAATCTAGAACATATGAAAGTTTCACTTTTTGAAATTCACGATATTCTAATTTTTTGAGATTTACCTGAACAGTTGAGGTCAAAAGTTTACGTCCCCCTTTCAGAATCTGCAAAATGTTAATTATTTTACCAAAATAAGAGGGATCATACAACATGTATGTCATTGTTTATTTAGTAATGACCTGAATAAGATAGTTCACCTAAAAGATTTTTACATATAGTCCTCAAGAGAAAATAATAGTTGAATTTATAAAAACGACCCCGGTCAAAAGTTAATGACCGTATGGATTTTGAGATCCATCTTTTCACACTGGGGACAACTGAGGGACTCATATGCAACTATTACAGAGGGTTCAAATGCTCACTGATGCTCCAGAAGAAAAAAACACATTAAAGGTGCACTTAGTGATTTTTGAAAAACACTTTTGACCACAACGTCGGACCAAGTCCCAAAACACATGCAGCCAATCAGCAGTAAGGGGGCGTGTCTTGCAATGAACGAGAAGAGAGCGCTCAATTTTAGTGCACAGGAGGTATATTAGTAGATCGACTATAGATAGAGAGAGATGGCAGATAAAACAAAAAGAGGAAAATATCAGAGAAACAAAACATTAAAAAGAAGGGTTACGGTCAGGCAAGAGGTAGGACCCGCGTAAAAGGCGCCAAGGTTGTGCTGTTTCTTTTTGATAGGTGAGTAACATTGATTTTGCTTCGTTTCACACAACTTAACCGTGTTGGCTTTCGTTTGAATATGCTTGTCATCTTTACTTGTTTCTGCGATCGTCGTTGCCATGGTTGCGTACGTACTTATGGGGCGGAGATTTCAAAATAGGGGCGAGGTCCTGTCGGGGTATGGGCGTGTTTGTTTTGGTGCTTTCAAATATCAACATCGTTTGGCAGAAATTGCTTAGTGCACCTTTAAGAAAACTTTTTGAATTTGAAGATCAGGGTAAGTTTAACTTATTTTGTTTTCTGGGAAACGTAACTATCTTCTGTAGCCTCTGAAGGGCAGTGCTAAATTAAAAAATATGATATTTAGGCAAAATAAGAAAAATGTACACCTCTCCATTCTGTTCAAAAGTCCCCCGTCCCCCAGCTGTGGATCATTCAGGTAACAACACAGTATTAAGAATCAAAGGGGATGTAAACTTTTGACCGGGGTCGTTTTTATACATTCAACTATTATTTTCTCTTGTGGACTATATGTAAACATCTTCTATGTCAAATATCTTATTCAGGTCAGTACTAAATAAACAATAACATGCATTTTGTATGATCCCTCTTATTTTGGTAAAATAATTAACATTTTGCAGATTCTGAAAGGGGGATGTAAACGTTTTACCTCAACTGTAAGTTATAGATCACAATTTGCGTATATAGGATGTAGCTTTGAGCAGAATTTTCTAGGAAAATGTGACCTGTTCAATAAATCGAGTAAATATAGTGTGGAAAATGTGCGCTTCACTGGTATGTTGTGTATCCTGCAGGAAACAGTAAAGGAAATCATAGTCAAGTCTCTGGACATCATTACTATCACGGTGCCCCCTGCGCTGCCGGCAGCCATGACAGCGGGCATCGTCTATGCTCAGCGGCGCCTCAAGAAAGTCGGGATATTCTCCATCAGCCCACAAAGAATCAACATCTGTGGGCAGCTGAACCTGGTGTGCTTTGACAAGGTAAACATGGGAAACTGAAGTCCTTTTCTTTTAGTGAAACCGGAATTAAACAGGAGTCAAATATTATGAATGTCTTTTAAAAACAACTTTCAGCACACACAAATTATCATTTAATCTGGTTATTTTTCATAAAACTAGGGTAAATTGTGGTGACATTTTAGAACTTCATTGTCTAATATGCAGTATACATTTTTAGGTAATTTAATAATTTATGTATTTTTTTTTTCATTTAACAGTTATCTAATATTTGATTATTAAACAATTTCTTTACTTATTTAAACATTACTATTGTTGGTTATTAATCAAATGGATTATTTAATAAACTGTTTATTACTACGACTACTACTACTACTACTAATAATAATAATGTAAAATAGATTATTATTATTATATAACAATTATTATAATTTTATAATTAATTTAAAAAGAATTATTACTCTGCATCATTTCAGACCGGCACCCTCACAGAAGATGGCTTGGACATGTGGGGAATTCAACGAGCAGAAGATGGCAGGTATGATTATAACTATAAAATAAAGATTAAATAGATTAACAGAACATTCTCAGTTGTTTTTGAATTCTCACTGCAGGCATTTAAGTGTCTTTTCTGACCCAAGAATCTCTATTCCCTAGATTCCACCATTCGGAAGAAAAAGCAGACGATAAGAGCTTAGTAACAACCAAGTTTGTGTCCTGTATGGCCACCTGTCACTCCCTCACCAAGATTGAGGGTCAGCTCTCTGGAGATCCACTAGACCTCAAGATGTTTGAGGCCACAGGCTGGGTCAGTGTCTGCTGTGACAGGAGAACAGTTTTTAATGTTCTCATTCAAGTTTTGGAACAAGTTGTACTTGTTTTTATTTATTTTGGTGTCGCTCTGTCTATCTGTGGTCTTCAGATATTGGTGGAAGCTACAGAAGAGGAGACGGCTCACCACGACCGCATTGAACTCACTTACGTAAAACCACCCAATCAGCTTCTGCCGCCACCAGTCATATCACCTGAACAGGACATGGTGAGCATTTCTCTGCTTATTACAATCCAAGTTATTTGTTTTTAAAACATTCTAATATCTTGCCGTTTCTTTCCAGGAACTGTCTGAACTCTATGAGCTCTCGGTATGTACAATGGCTATTATTTGTTTAATTTATGAATTTTATGGACATATATGGGTGTTTACATACTGTCTGCTGATTTTTTTTATGCTGCAGGCATCATATATGATCGGTATCGTGCGGCAGTTCTCCTTCTCCTCTGCTCTGCAGAGAATGAGCGTGGTTGTCCGACAGATCGGAGAGAGACGCATGGACGCCTATCTAAAAGGAGCTCCAGAGGTTGTGGCAAGCCTGTGTAAGAAAGAAACCGGTTAGTGAAAAAATCTGTCAGTTATTAATATCTTATCTTTTTTGAGTTTCAAATCAGTGTTGGATTGAAGTATTTTTTTCTCACAATGCACCACAGTACCAGAGGATTTTGCAGAGGTTCTGGAGGACTACACCAAACAGGGCTTTCGGGTCATCGCGCTGGCACACAGACGGCTAGAATCCAAACTTACATTTCACAAAGTGCAGAACACTAACCGGTAAAGATGAAGCTTTTTTTACTGGCACTTCCAATCAAAATTAAGGTCTTTTACAAATAAATGTACAATGTTATACTGGAACTTTTACCATGCTGTGCTCTGGTTTAATGTCAAACTATATTTGGTCTCTCTTCCTCTACAGGGATCAAATTGAGAAAAATATGGATTTTCTGGGTTTGATCATCATGCAGAACAAGCTGAAAACGGAAACTCCAGGTGTGCTGGAAGATCTACGACGTGCCAACATACGCACCGTTATGGTCACAGGTACAGAAAACATGACTTCTGTGGTCTACATGTTCTACTGGTGTTTTTCTCAGGCCTGCGTCCATGCCAGTTCAGAAAACCTGCGAGTTTAAAGTGCCCCTATTATGGGTAATGAAAGGTTCATATTTTGGTTTTGGGAGTCCCCAACAACGGGTTGACATGCATGCAAGGTCAAAAAACACTTTCATTGTCTAATGAATGTATTTTTACCTTATTTGCTCAGGGACTCCCAAATGATTCACTCAATGATTCCTTTTTCCAAACCCCTCCCTTGCTTGACTCTAATCTGCGGTGATTGGTCTCATTTTCATTTCATCTTGCCTGCAATGCCTGATAAAGCAGCGTTTGTGAGCGTGCTACCTTTGTGTACAGCGTTACCGGGGGAAACCGCTATTTTAACCGCTCCAAAAGCAGCACCTAGTGGCAAAGAGCACAGACCAGACAAGTCTGAAAAGACCAACAAGTGGGCGGGCAATATGCTAAAGTTTCATGTTGACGTCAACATGAAACAGATTGGGATTCATTTTAAAAACGACTCGTTTCAATTATTCAGAGTCGACTCTTTCTTTTGAGAGACAATAACTTTATACACGGTGCACTTTCAGATTTAAAACTTTGCAGGATGTTTTCATTCACTTAGAGCTGTGTCACACTCTGCATAAAAGGTCATTTTCAAAAATCCATAATAGGGGCACTTTAATATAGTTCATGAATATTCTTTCCAAATGGTCAATTTAAATTTTCAAACACATTCACAGCTATTCACATATATTTTATGTAAAGTTATACAGTACCATTCAAAAGATTTTGTTTTTGAAAGAAAGTTTCTTGCTTATCAAGACTGAAAATAGTAATATTGTGAAATATGAACATTTTAAAGTTTAAACTGTTTTCTATTTTTATACATTTTAAAATGGAATATATTTGAAATACTCTTTAATGAACAAAAAATTCAAAAGCACAGCATTTATTTGAAATATAAATCTTTTGTAATTTTATAAATCTGTTTCTGTCAATTTAATGGGTCCTTGCTGATTAAAAGTATTAATTCCTTTACAAAATTACTTGCATACCAAACTTTTGAGCACTAGTGTACTGCATGTGCTGCCCATGATGTATACATTTTTTCCTCATAGTAGTTCTGTAGGTTTTCCTAACAGGACATGTTTGATCTGTGTCCAACAAACCTGGTTCAGTTACTCCCTTCTTACCTTATTTATGTTAGTTCACCTGGTTAGCTTATCAGGAGCTGAATATGCCCATGTTGTTTGAAGATGGAAGGGAGTTTAGGGTGACCAGCCACAGGCAGACAGGAGTCTGGGAGCTTTGTAGCTTAAATCATTAGGTATTCCTGGAATCTCGTCTAATAATGTTCTCAGCTCTCCAGATTACCAGCCAAGCGCTCCAAAGTTCAGACGAGGCTGAGTGCAGCATTGTGAATGTAAGCAGATTGAGTTTGTACATGACCTACTCTTACAATCATGAGGAGCATTGGGTTATTGCCAGACACCAGCCATCATCTCTGTCCACTGACTAATAAAAAAGTACCTTTTGTACCAGTATATTGAATGGTCTAAAAGTCTCTGAATGCAATTTAAAAATCACTGTACCAAAGTATGTGGGGTTTTTTTGTAAGGTTTTTTTTGTTTGTTTTCTTAAACTTTTCTTTGTCTCTTGTGTAGGTGACAACATGCTGACGGCCATCTCTGTGGCACGAGACTGCATGAAACAGATTGGGATTCATTTTAAAAACGACTCGTTTCAATTATTCAGAGTCGACTCTTTCTTTTGAGAGACAATAACTTTATACACGGTGCACTTTCAGATTTAAAACTTTGCAGGATGTTTTCATTCACTTAGAGCTGTGTCACACTCTGCATAAAAGGTCATTTTCAAAAATCCATACTTTAATATAGTTCATGAATATTCTTTCCAAATGGTCAATTTAAATTTTCAAACACATTCACAGCTATTCACATATATTTTATGTAAAGTTATACAGTACCATTCAAAAGATTTTGTTTTTGAAAGAAAGTTTCTTGCTTATCAAGACTGAAAATAGTAATATTGTGAAATATGAACATTTTAAAGTTTAAACTGTTTTCTATTTTTATACATTTTAAAATGGAATATATTTGAAATACTCTTTAATGAACAAAAAATTCAAAAGCACAGCATTTATTTGAAATATAAATCTTTTGTAATTTTATAAATCTGTTTCTGTCAATTTAATGGGTCCTTGCTGATTAAAAGTATTAATTCCTTTACAAAATTACTTGCATACCAAACTTTTGAGCACTAGTGTACTGCATGTGCTGCCCATGATGTATACATTTTTTCCTCATAGTAGTTCTGTAGGTTTTCCTAACAGGACATGTTTGATCTGTGTCCAACAAACCTGGTTCAGTTACTCCCTTCTTACCTTATTTATGTTAGTTCACCTGGTTAGCTTATCAGGAGCTGAATATGCCCATGTTGTTTGAAGATGGAAGGGAGTTTAGGGTGACCAGCCACAGGCAGACAGGAGTCTGGGAGCTTTGTAGCTTAAATCATTAGGTATTCCTGGAATCTCGTCTAATAATGTTCTCAGCTCTCCAGATTACCAGCCAAGCGCTCCAAAGTTCAGACGAGGCTGAGTGCAGCATTGTGAATGTAAGCAGATTGAGTTTGTACATGACCTACTCTTACAATCATGAGGAGCATTGGGTTATTGCCAGACACCAGCCATCATCTCTGTCCACTGACTAATAAAAAAGTACCTTTTGTACCAGTATATTGAATGGTCTAAAAGTCTCTGAATGCAATTTAAAAATCACTGTACCAAAGTATGTGGGGTTTTTTTGTAAGGTTTTTTTTGTTTGTTTTCTTAAACTTTTCTTTGTCTCTTGTGTAGGTGACAACATGCTGACGGCCATCTCTGTGGCACGAGACTGCGGCATGATTCAGCCACAAGACCGAGTCATTATTGCCGACGCTCTGCCCCCTAAAGACGGCCAGGCTGCCAAGATCACCTGGCACTATGCCGACAAACCCAGCAAATTCTCGAACAAGCCCACCAAACTAGAGGTCAGTGTACCATCTACTGGCCAGACCCAGTCACTGTGGCTTTATGGGAATTAATGTTCTGGGTTAATACGGTTTGAGATCAGTCGCCAGTATTTGTGGCACGTTTTCAGATACCTTTAGCAAAATCACTGTTACAGTAAGATACATGCAATATAAGTACACATGCCCATGCAATATACATTAAGCTATGGTAATCAGCTAAATAAATCTCAAGAAGCATTATCTTTAGCATCTCTCTGTACTTGTGTTCTTTGGCAGGAGATGGAGATTATTATGGAAGATGGGCATTCTGTGGATGAGATGAAAACTCAGGAACAGTATCACTTTGCCATGAGCGGCAAATCATTTGCTGTAATTACTGAGCATTTCCAGGACCTGCTACAGAAGGTACAAAAAAAGTTTCAGATTTGTATACACATGGCATATATATATATATATATATATATATATATATATATATATATATATATATATTTATCTTTACGTAATATCCTAATGATTTTTGTCATAAAAGAAAAATCGATAATTTTGACCTATACAATGTATTGTTGGCTATTGCTACAAATATACTCGTGCTACTTATGACTGGTTTTGTAATCCAGGGTCTCACATTTATTGTAATATTTATTGTGTTATGGTTGTTGGTGTAGCTGGTGCTTCGTGGAACAGTGTTTGCAAGGATGGCGCCTGACCAGAAGACTCAGCTTGTTGAGACATTAGAAAGTGTAGAGTGAGTATTAAACACACACACACTCCATGAGAGCTCCATTTACATGTCTATTTAGAATAGTAATCATTGGTGTATACTTGGGGTTTTACAAAGTATTACTCAGAAGAAGTAGTAAACTACTAAGAAGTAGTAAAACCCTGGCTAAACCTTTTGTCCCTCTCTCTTCTGCAGCTATTTTGTTGGAATGTGTGGAGACGGAGCGAACGACTGTGGGGTGAATGACCTTAAAATCTTAGTTTCAAGGTTTATATGTGTCTTTTACGATTCTGAAAGTGTCATGTGTAGCTGATGTCTGTCTGTTTTGTCCTCAGGCACTGAAGAGAGCTCATGCTGGGATCTCCCTGTCAGAGCTGGAGGCTTCAGTGGCTTCTCCATTTACCTCCACAACTCCCAGCATCACCTGTGTGCCCAATCTGATCAGGTGTCCTAACTGCACCACAGCACAGCTCTGTTTCAAGAAAAATCATGTTTTCAAACTAAATTCATTGCACTACAGTAACTTTCAGGACTCGAAACATCTCCAGTCCAACAAAAGCATTTATAAAAATTACTAACATTAGATTTTTTTGAGAAACCCAAAAACATGAGACATCCTGCATTAACATGTTAACAAATATTTTGGCTAAGGCGACACGATATATACATTTACAATAAATGCTGCTCCATATGAACTTATTCATAAAGAGAAGCTTTAAGAGCTCCTTGTATTTTTTTATTATTATTTTTTTCCCCAAAATAAAAGCTTGACAGTATAATGTTAAAAATGAAGAAATTAAGACAATAAATCAATAAATAAAGCTTGGCTATGGCTGCTATTAGCCTTCATCTGGACAACCTGCTGTCATAATTCTTATTTTGTTTAATATTTGTATTCTGTAATAAATCTAATAATAATCATCATTATTTTATATAGGCATATTGATATATAGTGATATTGTTAAATAAAATATACATTTTAAATCATAAATATTGAAATAACATTATATTTTACAAGACTATAAATAGGGCTATTTTAGAGCCCACCCAGTCACCGTAAAGTAATGAGGAAGTAGGATAGGCATGGCAAAACACACCCCATCGAAGGGCCAGAAAAAGAGTAGAAAATAATCATGCAAACAAATTAGGACTCTTCTGGGTTTGATTAACTTAATGTGAGTAATTGAAGTTTGTGCCTAATGAACCACAGTGAGAAACAGGACATTTTGTCGATTGCTTGGTTTCTGTGGAAACTGGTTAGGATGCTGTATTAGTCTAAATGATGCTGATGCACCTCAAATTGAATGTTTTGAAAATAAACCATTTGGAGTTGATGAGGGTGCTTGTTTGAACATTGTAGACAGCGTCTCCCAATGACACAAAACATTCTGAGTCTCACACATGTTGTTTCTCCACAGGGAGGGCCGAGCGGCTCTCATCACCTCCTTCTGTGTGTTTAAGTTCATGGCTCTGTACAGTATTATTCAATGCCTCAGTGTCGCCCTTCTCTACTCCGTAAGTTCCCCCGTCATTCACTGAACTACTTATTATAGTTATTATACATCTTTCTGTGCTTGTGAGAGACAGAAGGTCATTAGTTCATGCTGAGATTGCTTATACATATATATATTTCAGATTCGCAGTAACCTGGGCGACTTCCAGTTTCTCTTCATCGATATGGCTATCATTCTTTTAATTGTCTTCACTAGTGAGTATGATCTGTAATGTCTTTCTTGTTCATCTTAAATTGATCTTAATGGCTGCAAACCTTTTCTTGAGAATAATATGCAATAAAATAGATGGAGTAAATATTCTGATTTCATGTTGTCAGAAAGCATTTAGATTGAACACTACGACATTGAGCTCATGAAAACGGAGGTACGTTATTGATTATTTGTAAGTACATTTTCTATAATTTCTTTCATTTGCTCCCAGTGAGTTTGAATTCCGCATGGAAGGAGCTTGTCGCCCAAAGACCTCCCTCCGGTCTCGTCTCAGGTCCTCTCCTCTTCTCAGTTCTGACCCAGATTCTCATTTGCCTGGGTTTCCAGATCATGGCCTTCCTCTTGATCCAAGAATTGGACTGGTACTCCAAACCAGAGTGAGTACAGTGCAATAGTGGTACTGCAACACACTTAAACAGTCTTCATATTGTTTCATACTTAACCTTAATTGCATTAAAAAAAAAAATCAGCTCCAGTCTTTTTTTGTTTTTGTTTTCTTTAATTTACAGTTTCTACAACTGCTCTGCTCCCCATCACATGGATAACTCCACTGAAGCAGAACCTGAAGAAAGAATCATGAACCGTGTGAATACCACACTCTTCTTCGTCTCCTCTTTTCAGTACCTCATTGTTGCCATTATTTTCTCCAAAGGAAAACCTTTCCGCCAGCCCAGCTACAAGAACTGTAAGGATGAACCTTTTTCAGCTTGATGCATTCACAGTGCAGTGTGACAAACTCACAATGCTCACTCACATTGTTTTAAAATCCCTCACACTTTTAAAAAAAAATCTATTTAATGCATATGGAATTTCAAAGAAATTTAAGAGTACATTTTGAACATTTCCCATTGAATGTTATATAGATATAATGTTTGCAATCTATCTCTGCATCCTGATATTTTTGTGCAGTTAATTTAGGTATTTATTTAAACGTAATTTCACGTAATTTTTTTCTAGAACTAAAATGTAAGTGATGTCATTGTAATATATGCATATTGAAATTAAATAGTTCTTGTCTGACATTGTCTTGAAAACGGAGGAAACGCAAACCTGCTTTCACTTACTCTTCATTGACTGTGTGTCTGTTTGTTTGTTTGTTTTTTCCCTCCTCTTCTTCATTCAGGGCCGTTTGTCCTCTCTGCTTTAATTCTCATCATTTTCCTGTTTTTCATCATGTTTGTCCCAATCTCTGGAATCTATGAATTTTTAGAGGTATGTTTGTTTCCTAATGATTGATTCTTTTAGAAACTGTAATATATGGCCTATGCTTTGAGTATTTATCACTCGGGCCCTTATAAAACTTAGACTGTTCAGAGTTCAATGTCTAAAGTTGAAAACAGTAGTGCTGCTTAATAATTTTCAGGATACATGATACTTTCTTTTTTCATTTTTCTTTGAATAGGAAGTTCAGAAGAACAACATTTATTTGAAATAGAAATCTTACATTATTAAAGTTGATCATTTTAATGCATCCTAGCTGAAAGTATTAATTTCTTAAACATCTTACTGTCCTTTGATCGATAGTATGTTTTAAGAAGTTCATTACATTGACGTTCTCCTCAGCTCGTATGTGTTCCTTTGAGCTGGCGTGTGTCTATGGTTCTCATCGTGCTGGGCAACACCCTAGTGTCTGTCTTCATCGAGGTAAGTGGGAACATCAGGCAGTTACATCTGCCACATTATTTGTTGTGGATATTCACATATTAAAAAAACTTTTTATATAAATCATTTAAATCAATAAATCATTATGTAGTTGTATTGCTAGCCCTATATATATATATATATATATATATATATATATATATATATATATATATATATATGGGAATGTACAGTACTATATTATGGATGATACTTTTTCTTATAGGATGTGACTGTCAGATGTAGTGAACCCTTCAGCCAGGGTCGTAACACACTGCTCTTGCTGTAACACAATTAAAACCCTCGTGTATTTGATGGGGATATACAGAAAAACACAAAAATAGGTTTGGGAATCAAAAAGCTGGTGCTTATTCAGAACCATTTCCATTTATATATATTTTTTTATATAACTATAGCTATGTAACAGTTTTATATAACTATAACTATAGAACAAATTAAAAACTTTATACAAGTTTTATATATACATAACTATACATAAATAAATAATACAAAAAAAAAAAAAATATATATATATATATATATAATGTGTGTGTATAATACTTTTATGATTTTTCCATCAATTCAGAAACAATCTCAAACTCATCTAAAAAGGCAGTTATTTGTTGAAATTACTGAATTAATATCTGAACATCTGATTTTTGTTGTAATAAGTTGCTCTTTTTTTAATAATTTTTATTATTTGTAGTTCATATGATTAACTATTAAGCATTGCCTATAAATAAGTTCACTCAAATATAAATGTAATTCAGTTCAATATATGTATATGGTATAACAATATTAAAATCAGTAGCTAACAGCACTAAAAGAATCATTAATGAAAATAAGAAGCCAAAATTTCTTATGATTCCCATCCCTATACAGAAGTTAATTCCGCTCTACTGAGGCTGATCCACAGGATAAGGAAACCGCATTAATATTGTACCCTGTACAGCCAGGCCATGTATTGTACAGCGTGTCTGATTCCATCAGCAGCTCCTTCTGCCTCTGAATCCCAAAGAAAGAGTCCAATTTTTCTTGTCGTCTTCTTTGGTCGAAAGCTCCTCACCCTGATAAAGAAATGCCAGCAATCATGGTAGTGGCATAGTGGCTGTTTGCTTCGCCTTTTAGATCCCTTTTAGAGATGACTTCCTGGTGCTAACTACAGGGCACGCCGTTCTCTCTCACCTGTCAATCAGTAGAACACTAGACTACAACAGCCAATCAGTGGGACTCCCTGTGATCTCGCTGTATGTTCATTGCCAATGAACTGATGACCTTTAGTGCAGAATAACGTAATTCTCTTGCCTCTACTGTTTTTCTTAAACTAACACACAATCCAAAAAATCACTGCCCTTTCAAGAAATGTATTTAGTTTTGCAATTGACAAGGAAAAAGCAGAAACAAATGACCATACATCTTTTGCTAGCCATGTGATCCGTAGCTTTCTTCATTCTTTCCGTCCTACTGCGATATTCTTTAGACCGTCGTGCTTGACGTCATCTTATGGAAGCATGTGTTCAGCAGAGACAAGCAGGGCAGCTATGGCGTCTCCCCTGCAGGCCCGACACCACAGGTTGGGAAAAATCTGACACTTCTGTTCACCGTTGCCTTTTCACTTCCTGGTGTCCACTTTCACTCTTTTCCCCCTTTCCTAAATCCTCCTCCTCTTCTCTCTCCCTCTCACCCAGCACCCTGTCTTAACGTTTGGCCTTGCATGCGCCAACATGATTTTTCTGAACGCTCTCTAGTGCACCCTCTTGTTTTATTTTGCCCCCCCCCCATTTTCCTCTAATGCTCCTTCTGTATTGGCAACTACTGCGTACATGTGTAAGCTCTGCGTCTGTTTAAACTGCAGTGACGGTGCAGGTATGTGCCAAACAGCAATGCTTAATGTCTAACTCGGTGAATCGCAAAACTTGCACTAACGTTCTGATACATTGTGTTTTGTGTGTTGATTGGTTAAAGGAACTGTCCGGGTTGTTTGCAACTTAATGTCTATGGGAAGAAGTTTATTTTTGTGGAGGAACTATTGGTTTTGTGTAACTAATGTAGCGTTCGCAGTACTATGTAACTAGTCTTTTATGAAAAGTCCCATTTCTGGTATCATGTTCGAAAGTTTGTGGTTATATTTATTTTTTTATATGAATATCTTTTTATTCAGCATTTTTTGCCTTTGAGACTTCCATTCGTTGCCGCCAGGAATACATTTATTAAAAACATTACTAGAACTGTTGTTTAAAATTATAATAATATTTCAGAATATGACTATTTTTACAGTTTTTTTTTTTTTTCCCAAACAAATGCGCCCTTTGTGAGATTTCCTAAAAAAAAAAAAAAGTTCAAATCTTACCAATCGCAAACTTTTGAATGGTAGTGAATAGTAAAGTTGTCATAGACATTAAAGGGTAAATAGCTCAGATTTTTCCTTTAAATGAATGTTCGGGGTTCAAAATGAGTCTGGCCTGGATGATTTTCACAGGCAGTCATTTTTACTTGCTTGAATCATCTTTTTAAAGTGGGACTACTTTTCTAGTTGGATAAACTTCTGGTTACCAATTAAATTTTTTGAGGTTGCATCTGAAAAGCACATGTAAAACTTGTTGTGGTGTCCTCATACAAATACTGAGCAGTGTTTGTAGTAGGGTTTTTTTGTATTACTATATACTTTTTATTTATGTTTTGAATTTTATCTTAAATTTTATTTTTATATTTTCAGTTCTTCATTTTAATTGAAGTTTTAGTAGTTCTGTGATGTGCTATTGTCATTTTTATTTAACTGTTTCATAAAATGATTTTAATTTAACACTGATATAGTGAAAGTTATAATAATCATTAAGCTATAATAGACTTTAAATTGCACATAACCTGGAATATTCCTTTAAAGGGATGTTCCGGGTTTAAAGCGAGCTTTGTGGCCTGCCTCTGATTACCACTAAAAGTAATTTTGACGAGAATGTAAAAATAAGCAAAAATTGTTTACAGTAACGCAATTTCAATGGAAGTTCATGGAGCTGGGCCTCCAGATGGGTTCACAAAATGAAATGCATTGTTCATCATTTTGTTGAAGCACTTGTATTAATCCTTCCATACCAAAATATGCCAACAGATGAATTAACTTGTGTTCATACTTTACTTCAATAGCTTTATAAATAGTTTTGTCACATAATTTCCATTTTATTGTCTTCTGTCTCCAAATTTATAATTGAGTGTATTTTTATATGTATCCCAGTGCAGTGGCCGACCCCATATACTTGTGTTGTAGGCGCATTACTTTATACACAACTTTGCTTGTTTTAAAAACTCAGAATTATTTTCTGTGGTAACTGTCAGCATGCTATGGATTTGAACCCGGAACATTATTTTTAATGCCATGTGAGCTTCAAAAGTAGCTAAAGCAAGCATTTTGGTATTAATTTGAATAAGCATAAAGAGTCATTACCCTTGCATGTGCTCAGAGGCATGACATACTGTACAGACAGACCAAAGGCTCTGACTTTGTTTCTGCATATGAAAATGAATATCTCATTTTATTTTGTTATAGCTTAGTGTTTCCATCACAGGTTTGAATTCTGTCTTTTGAAGGAAATGATAAAACCAGACTTCTTATCTTCTCTTCTCCTCTCCACTTCCCCCTGGCTGGGGGGTGTGTGTGTGTGTGTGTGTGTGTGTGTGTGTGTGTGTGTGTGTGTATGTGTGTCTATAGGAGGGAATAGACATGTTTGGAACGAAATGCCTCTCCTGGCTCTGCTGCCGGCAGAAAAAAGTGCCCAAGGCTCGGTACATGCACCTGGCCCAAGAGCTGAGCGTGGATCCTGACTGGCCTCCCAAACCTAAGAGCACTACTGAAGCCAAACCCACCCCTCATCCGGATGACTGCTCCTACCAGATCGAGGCCGTTTCCTAGCGTTTCCACCAACACACTCCATATCGCATGTCTAAACCACCAGGAATACCTTTAAACAAATGAAACAGTCAAATAATAACGGTTTTGTTAAAAGAGATACGAAAAAGACACCAAAAACCTGCAAAGGAGAGTTTGTATTAGCACCTCAAAGATATCTTGAGGTGATTCATTGTCTCTCTTTTTTTGATTTTTTTTTTCCTGCTGCTCAAGATTGTTTTTTTTAGTGGGCGGGGTTCACAGGCTGGGAACTGTGGAATCTCCGCCCACACTGGAATGCGGTTTGTCACCGATATCCCCTTAACACATCAAGTAGACCGCAAAGTGATTGAACTCTACCAAATGTGGCTCTTTACATCACCTTTTCCATGATTTCATGGACCTGGTGGCTCTCCTACGGATATCAGCTCTTCACTGGATTTCAAGCGACGTTCTGTAATGTAGTTGGTAGCCCATCATCTCTACTGGCTGCGCGGCAGGGGCTGCACGCAAACGCTTTGAAAACCATCGCTGCATGTGGAACAAACCAAACCAAACTCTAGTGACTCACAGAATCCAAGATCCAGCTTAATTTACAGCCAGCTCGTTTTTACAAATATATCGAGGTAGATATATATAATTACACACGATCTTTACTTTTCATATCTCTTCCCATGGAAGAATCAAGGTGGGATTCAGATGAGAAAGGCCAAACATTGTGAAAGTCGTTTCTGTTTTGTTCACCTCTCCTGGCACAGTATCCAGTGATGGGTTTTGATTTGGTCCATCCTGAAACTTTTTACCAATTTTTGTTGAAAACAGTGTCACGGCAAGTCCTGGTTTATTCAGCGTCGTCATATTTGCAATGACGCATTTCTAGGAATTGCATTGGGAATCGGCTGGAAGGGGCTCAGGTGCATTGATTGTTCACAAAGATATTTAGGGCACATTCATTAGGAAAATGTACAAATGATAGAGCTTTAAACTGGAGTCTTTGTTTGAGGTGGGGACTATCTGAAAACTGTATGTTCAAATTTTGCAATCCAAATCAAATTAGGCTGCCAATGAAATCACTCAAAATTGGCCAGATTACAGTATTACTTGTGCATGAATTATTAATTGTTTTGCTGCTAATCTATGAAAAAAAGCAATTTTTAAAATCCTAAATAACAAACTGAAGGTTCGAAATGTTGCAGATGATCCCTTCCCTTCTTCCAGATTTACTTGCATAATTTATGCAGTGCAGTTCAACTATCCTCAACTTTTGCAAGCTTGCCTCCGTGTATCTTTTTTGGTTTATTTGAAGGAAAACGTGTTTATATATATATATATATATTTTGTGTTGTTCCTGAAATGAACCACTAAACAGTATCAGGTGGTCACCTTTGTTTTTTTTCTTTGACCGTTTGTATTGTCGCATGTGAAGTTTTGGTCAGTCATTTTGCTTAGGTTGGTGTCTGTCTTTTTTTTTTTTTTTTTACATTTTAACACGCGCACACACACAAAGTAGTTTCAAATGAAAAATGATTAATAGTAAAATTTTACTATTAAAAAAATACCAATTTCATGTTTATTGGGCTTCTCTTCATTTAATAAATAATATGTGAGGTAATACAATTTGTAAACATATTAAAGATATGTTTTACGCAAACCTTAAAATGCTCTGTGAAAGCAAAGGACTCCATAAAGTTGAAGTTCATACAGTAAAAATCTTACAATCTGATCATAGGTTTTCTTCCATGTTTGCATTTATTTATTGTTTGGACTTCAAATTCATTGATTTATTTTACTGTATGGGGCATTTTAAAATCTTCAGTTTAATCTGAAAAAGGGCTGAATCTGTCTCTGTGTTTATTGCTCCATTTCTGCAATACTTTGGTACTGTTTGTTTTATGAAATGGTATTGATCATCTGAAATAATTGCAGTGTGTTCTTTTCAACCGTATTTGTCCGATTATTGTATCCGTATGTTTGTTTGTTTATATCATAAATGCGTGTTTGCTGGGCATTCCTTGAATGAGGCAACAAAAAAAATCACCTTGCTGTTATTGACCTGGGTGAGACGATCAGTAACAAGATGTATCAGTTTTGTAAACGACCACCTCAAAGCATCTGATCGCACCATCTACTGACCCCAGATGGATAAACAAACACAACAATTTTTTTTCTTTTTTAAAACCCGTTTGTCCTTTACAAATGTGAACATAATGCTGAATGATTTTGGGATTGGGGAATGTTAAATTATTTTCTTTTTTAATTATTGTTCTTGTTAATGCTAAGTTTAATTTTTTTTATTTAAATAGTTTTGTTTGTCTTGATCTGAACTGTGTGGTGTGGCAATCACTTTCTCTTCCTCTAGGAGGCAGTAGGTTGCTGCAAGGCCTTGGAAAACATCATTAAAGGGATAGTTCACCCAAAAATGAAAATTTGATGTTTATCTGCTTACCCCCAGGGCATCCAAGATGTATGTGACTGTTTCTTCAGTAGAACACAAATTATGATTTTTAAGTCCAGTCGTTGCAGTCTATCAGTCGTATAATGCATGGCAATGGTAACAAAATCTATGAGAGTAAAAAAAACATGCACAGACAAATCCAAATTAAACCCTGCGGCTCGTGACGACACATTGATGTCCTAAGCCACGAAACGATCGTTTTGTGCGAGAAACCGAACAGTATTTATATCATTTTTTACCTCTAATACAGCACTATGTCCAACTTCCTTGAGCGCGCGCAGGCATCCGGTGCGTGAGGTGTGTACGCGCTCTGGCGTAGTTTACGTTAAAGGATGTGTTGATATTCAGCCGAAGAGCAATCAACCATAACTCCAGGCGAGCAGGCTCAGAAATTGGGAATACGTGGAAAGTCACCATTCCTGAATGAGTTCGCAGGAGAGAACGTAATCTTTTAGTTTTAAGTCGGTTTGAACAATCCGGATAAGCGCAAGTAAGTACCATTTGGATTAGCCGTCGTACCTACAATGTTTTTGCACTGTGTAACCAATGAGTGACGTATACACGCGAGAGATCACTTCCGGCGCTTGCGTAAACTATGCCAGAGCGTGCGCTCAAAGCAGTTGGACATAGTGGTGTATTAGAGGTAAAAATGATATAAATGCTGTTCGGTTTCTTGCACAAACCGATCGTTTCGTGTCTTAGGACATCAATGTGTCGTCACGAGCCGCAGGGTTTAATTTGGATTTGGCTGTGCATGTTTTTTTTTACACTCATAGATTTTGTTACCATTGCCATGCATTATAAGACTGATAGACTGCAACGGCTGGACTTAAAAATCATAATTTGTGTTCTACTGAAGAAACAAAGCCACCTACATCTTGGATACCCTGGGGGTAAGCAGATAAACATCAAATTTTCATTTTTGGGTGAACTATCCCTTTAAATCCTGTCACAATAACAAACCTGCACCTTATGCGCATTTCTATTGGTTTTGTTCACTTTTACACCTTCAAATGCGCACTGAAATATCTGTCATGTCATTCGTTATGGTCCATAGCAATCATTTATGTGCTGAAAAAACGGGGCCGTGTTAATGTCATCTGTTTGTCATATCTGCAGTTCACACAGGAATGTTTGATTACTGGAGGTCATTCAGTAGACAGTGTTACTTCTTGCTTTCATTCATTTTGTACCATATGTCATGTTCATTTGAGAATGGTGTTATTAATCAAACATGAGCAAAAGATCAGCCACTGGTTCTTTTAAAGCTGGAGTGGTTAATTTCCTCAGGGAAATGTGTGTATTTGTAATGATTAATGCTAAATAAATAAGTATGGAAAAGTCATGCGAGTCTGTATTCTTGAAGATGGTCAGTAGGTATTCTAAATCCCACCACTTTTTATTTTTGTAGAGATGTAAATTTGTCATTGCAGTTTGTTTTATACACATGTAATTTATTTTTATTTGCTTTAATAAAAATTGTAAGTTGTCCTCTTTTTGTCCCCTACTTAATGCTCTGTAATAAATGTCACAAACAGAAGTTTAGTTTTGTTCATTGCTTCATTTTCTTTCTAAAAAAAATAAATAAATTGCTGACCCTAAACTTTTGACTCGTTTTGTAATCAATAGTGAAAAGTACACTACAGTTAATTTGTACAATAAATGAGAGGTTTAAAATAGAAACCAACATGTCTAGTGTAAGCGGTTCTGTGTTTAGCGATTTCACTGAATTGTTTATCATGACATTAATTTCTTTTGGCTTCCAGTAGGTTAAACAGGCAGCAGGAGTAGTGCGAAGAGCTGACAGGGAGAGAAGTGTAGGACAGGAAGCTTCCAGAAAAAACACTGGCCATGGGGAAAATAGACTGTTCGGTGAGAAATCCTTTCACAATATCACCTACTGTATACCAATATCTTCTACTGCAACAATAATGTGATATGGCCAGAGGGATCTTTCTTCACCCGCTGGGTCTCAAAGGGTGACCACCTCTTCGATCAGTAAAGAAATACCTGTGTGTCTGACTCCTTTTATGTTTTAGAGTTGGTAGAATCTTTAACTCTTATGTCAGATCATGTGACCCGAGCAAGTGTCAAGGTTAGTTTGTTTAGGCGTCGTTTTCTGTGAACTCTTTCCTATGTCATTAGTGCTTGTGTGCCACAGAGCATGTGATTTGTTTTTACTTGTGTTTGCCCATAAATTTGTACATTAACCCCACTAAAACTACGACACCCTTTGAACTCAAGCTCGGTCTCTGAAATATCGATTTGTTTCGTTTTTAGGTCAGGCCTTCTGGTCGGGCTCCAACTGATGTTCTGTTTCAGGATGTGTCCGCAAAGGTCTGCTCTTATATAACGGCCAATCTTGTTGTGATCCCCAAAGGACCTCTCGCAATAAGATTTAGTGGCTTGGAGGGTTTGATTTTATATATATATATATATATATATATATATATAAAATGGACACCCAAACACCGCAACTACACTCTTAAAAATAAAGATGCTTCAAAAGGTTCTTCGATGCCATAGAATAACCATTCAGTTAAAGGTTCTTTAAAGAACCTTCTCTTTCTTACTTTTTATAATCTAAAGAACCTTCTTTCGCCACAAAGAACCTTTTGTGAAACAGAAAGGTTCTTCAGATGTTAAAGGTTCTTTA